ACGAAATAGGGTAAATACATCTCATTACACTGATTTACTGGTAGTCTCGAAACCCTACTCTTATACAAATACATTATTGCATCAAAGCTTTTTCTTTAGTGCATAAAAGACATCTAAAAAGTGCACACAACCAAGCTACTAAAGGTTGAGAATAATAAAGGAAAACACTAGTAGTAAATAAAGTTCATTAATGAGCTGGAATATGTTTTTTTTAATCATGGCTTGACGATAGAATTCTGAAGCTTGTTCCTATTGGAGGAGCTCTGTCCATATATAAAAAGAATATGGGGAAGTAGAAAAGCAAAGGCGAGGAATAGAAATGGCTTTTCTGTCTTAATAGACTGGTAGCTGGAAGCAACGACTTATATATTAAACGAATAAATCCCACATCTTTTAGTGAATCTTGAATAAGCACTAGAGCATAGTTCTACCTGGACAAATAAAAACAAAAGCTGCTGCCAGAAAAAAGTTAATCAAAATGTTGACTCAAAAAGTCTGATTTAAGTAAGAATAATATTCAAAGCCGAAAAATTGTAGCAAGAGCATGGGCATAACTTGTATCTGAGCTGATACTACAATAATGAGGTTCATAAAAGGTTAAAAGATAATTTTTTATTATATTACTGCCCTGGCCTAGCACCCTAACGTATCCATTATAAACACTCTTGTTCTTCAAATTAATGAGATACCTTTAATAAGACAAGAAAAAGGATATAATTTGTAGTGCGATAAAGTCCGAAGAAATTTAACCATATAATTATAAAGGCAACACGGATGTCAATGTCTTGCAAGAAATCCGGAAATCACCACACGACCTAAGCAAAGTTAGTACTATGGATAGATACCCTAAGGATAAGGAATTTCGCTCAATCATAATATTCTCAGGTTGGCAAATAAACTATAAAATAAAATCGTAGATATGAAGAGCAGTAGATATGAAGGCAACAGTCTCATTTAGCTTTATAATGCTGGTTCGACATCTTTCTCGGAACATGGTTTAAGTGTAAGGAAGGAGTTGTGGGGCTTACCTAGTCCTGTCTCGCTTGCCAAAGTATTCGTGATTTCCAACTTCGGAATATTAAACTTGTACACTCCTAATCGTTTCACCGGCATCATCAGTGGGAGAGTCCATCATCAACACAAAGTTACAAATTATCAAAGTGGCAAGTGAAGACAATCCTCTCGACCAATTTTCTGTGAAACCGTTGTGGCATCACACATCGCCCCTACTTTTTGTTCTATCTTCTGGTGTGCATCACTTTCTTTCAAGCACATTTCATATGGAACATTTAGATATTCACTCAATGCGACGTGTTGTATGTCCACATTGGCATCCAGAACGTTTAAAAGTTCCTTATAACATAAGGCTGGCTTGTGAATAGTTGAGCTCTTCGCCTTCAAGCAATGTTAAACTAGGTTGCAAAAGTGAGTTTTTGTATATTAATGCCATGCCTTTATAATATTTAATGCTCCTCTTTTTTTATTAAAATTTAATACACTATACTTCATCACAGCCGAACTCTAGTGTACTTTTTTATTTTAATCGAGATATCAATCTTTGTAGTCATGTATTTTAAAATTTAAAAGTCCATCAGCGACTTTTGTGAATTATCTTTTAGTATCCCCATTAGGCTATATTCACCATAAGTTGAACTTACATAACTAATTCCGCTTGAGTTTCTAAGGTTTGCCTCAGAAATTATTGAATACTGAGCTATACCTGTAATCATGTAGTGTAAAAATATATCCTATTAGAGTAAAATTGGATTTTTTTTATATAGCCAGCTGCTAAACTCCTTAATTTAGTCCATTCAGAGTTTATCGATCAAATTATCTAATGTGTTTTACCTCTAACTCATGGACAACAGGCTTTAACCGGCCTCCCTATTTGATAATTTGCTTTATTACTTCACCGATTTACGCTCAATGCTTCT